TACAAAAGTACACACTCACAAAAGGCTTCTACAGCTGAGGCATACAGTCAATCACAGTTCTGCAAGACTGAGCAGTATTAAAGACTCACATTTAGGTTTGACATTTGGATGTTTTCCAATATTCCTGGCTGATTTTGCTACAGACTTATCAGTTGTCATCAGAGCACTGCAGACATACAGATCGGATAAACGGTGGCCACAGATGCATGGATCAAAAGAAAGTGCTTTAAAATAAGAGGCAAAGAGGCTGCTTTCCTCCTACCACACTTTTGGTTGGGTTTTCCCCCCCCCCCCACCCCCACCCCCCTTTTGGTTGGGTTTCCCCCCCCCCCCCCTTCTTCTTCTCCCTTTTCAATTTTAAAAGTTAACAACCTTAGCCACATGGCCTGGTAAAACTCAGGAGTTCTGCTGATATGCCATGTTTTGAAGAAAGGGATATTCTTTCCTCTTAAAATACCAAAGACTATTTACATGAGGGAAGAGTGACTAAGATCTTTAAAAATAGGAATTGAAAGGAGAGTTGCTAAATCCATATATAGCCAGCTATATGAGGTGACCTGATTTACAAATATGCCAAGCATCTTCTATGTTTCTGTCATCAAACACCATTTGGGTTTCAAGGGTGTCCAAGCCCTTGTTTCATACTTGAAAATAAGGCCACTAATTTTAGAGCCTAATAGGATTCAAATAACCTAACACTGGGATCCTGTTTTGAAAATGTCAGTTTCTTGCTTAGAAGTTCTTTGATCCCACTTACTTGATAGCTTTGATGGGCAAAATTGCTATAAGCACAGCCAAAGTAGGTAAGACCAGAAGTCCATCTATCCCATTATTCTGTTTTCAGCAGTAATAAGTGTGTAAGGAAAAACTACGAGCATGGTACACACAAAAGGGACACTTTTCCCATTATACCCTTCTAGCTCCCAGCAACATGTGACATGCCTATTCAAGTTACTGACACATCCTGCTTGGCTAAGAATTTCAAATTGTGCTAGCACTTACCATAGAACTAGTACAGTTAAGGTACATTAATTTAAACAGAAAAAGCAGTAATCTTATGTTATTTAAACTACGCGTGACAGAAACAAAAGGCTTTGAAAACCATTGTTTCAAAAAAAGTTCTTCAACTTAATGCAAACAAAGGCTTACAACCCCCAGGGGCATAAAATAAATATCAGCCCATTTGCTGTGAAGACGTAGAAAGAGGTAAGCTGTTTCTAAAACCATAGAAGTACAAGAGGTTGGTGTGACTGTGAAAGGCCCTCAATAATTATCAAAGAAAAAATTATTTTCATGGGGAAAACAAAAAGAAAAAGAGGACTTAGGCAATTAAACACTGCAAGAGAAGTCAGGGTCTCAAGCATGCACTCAGGTGGTATAAAAAAGAGTTTCTGTATTCTAAAGAATGTTTTTCCTTGGGGAATGAAAAAGAACAAGGAATTCAGAGTCTTGTCAGGTTTGCCAAAACAAAAGGAAATTGAGTTGTAGGTCAGTGGGAAGATATTTTGCAGCACTATGTTTCCAAAACCAGACCAGGGAATGAACTGAAGAGCGTGAACAACCAAGGAACACACAGACCCTATTTCTTATTTGAAGTCTTCCAGCCAGCTTTGTTCATATGAGTAACTACTGGCTCACATGAGAGTACATGCAACCGTGAAGCAACTGCTACTTAAATGCCACCAGAGTTGTCAACTCCTTAGGGAGTAGCATGTCATCATTAAGAGCAGCCGAACATGGTGCTACTTTTAAACTCCTGCTTTTAACCTCTTAGCTCTCTGAATACATGAACAATGTGTACCTTTCAGTGTAGTGTGAGGCCAGGGATCTCTTCCCTAAATAATCTGGAATCTTTGCTGTCTGACACACTTCCCTTCTCCTTTTTCTCCAATTGCGTCTCTTCTGCTAGTGACAGAACTTAAAATCAGATAATTAAGTGCTGTTAGGGGTTCATGAAACTCTCAAAATGCTACAGAAAGCATTGAATCTCTGGCTTTTAAGCTATTTAAATTTGGTCCACGATGCTTTATTCATTTAATTTAGGTACAGTTTAACATAATACCAACAACAAAGACATGTAGGCCACATTCTTCTTTTACTAGCATAAATTTGGGAGAAATTACACTGAATCACTTGAACTAAAATAGTGTAAAACCAAGAGTGCAAAATTAAATCCTCCAGCTTCAAAGATCTGCAGGAAGCAAAAGGGGATGATTGCAATTATTATATACAGTCAAAATCCTGTTTCCACACATAAGTCCATAACTAATTAAAAAACACTTGAAGAGATGTACAGAAAGTATAAGTTAAATTAATATGCTTTCAATGAGCGTTTTTCTTATAAAGGGTCTATCAGAGAAATGCAGCTGACCCATACTAGTGGCTACTGGAATAAACAGCTTAAAAGTCCTAATTAGATCAATCTATGCAAGAACTATAATCATTTCATACCAGCCTAAAATGTTGGGGAAACATCCCCCTTAAGCAAAAGGAAGTATTTTGGGATATAAAAAAACACAGTAAGTATTGGCTAATAAGAAACAGACAAAGAAAAGTGCCAAATGCTGTAAAGCCCTGATACTTCAGATAATGACTAAAATTTATGACTGCTTACTTCCCTGGTAGACAGGAGTACAATTAGAATTCTCAAAACAGCAGCCCCTTTGTGCTGGCATGCTGTGTTATGTTTATACTGCTACAGATAGACTAGAAGATAAAAAAATAAATACTACAGCACCCCTTTCAACCCAAGATAATAGCTAACTTTATTTTTTAATGTGGGTTTGGACATGGGTTTGCGCACAGCTTATTCTTAACTGAAGTCATTTAAGTAATTATCATTGCATGCACTGGAATTAACCATTTAAGTAGCTTACATACATAGAAGTCTCTATTTGAAAAATCACACGGAACAAGAACAAACGAGCTATTATGAGTCACTTAATTTCCTTTGCTGTCCAAATACAGCTTGACATTTAAACAGACTAAATTATTCCTTTATTTCAATTTTGAAAAATTTGAATGTGCTTGGCTTGATGAACTGTTGAATGAAAAGCGTCAGGAAGTATGCATGCTCTTTCTTTCATCCTTGTATACAATGATACGGATCACTTGGAACTGACAGTGGTTAGAAGCAGCATAGGAAAATAAAAGGATAGGTTTTTCTCATCTCCTTCACAAAGAAAGCACAATTGCAATATTCTGAACATGTAATCTGGACTCGGGACAACCACAGATAGCTCAGCAACAGAATATCCTGCAGGCATCTGTTCCCTATAAATTCTGGGAAATGTACGCCCAGGGGAAGCTCTGACAACTTCCCAAAGAGCAGTAGCATATCAGCAACCAAAACTTGAAGATTTCTCCTACTGCACGCTGTCATTTGGCCTAGACATCTCTCTCCTCTTTCTCTTCCTTTTTCTAGTATTTGTGTGTCTTGCCCTTCATGGTTGCACTGATCACTCCTCTTATCACCCAGCTAAGTAAAATGGCCAATTTCTTCCTTAATTACAGTGATCCATAAGGACCTATGTCAAGCTTTTAGTACCATGCCTTTGAAGTCAAAGGAAATTGCTAAGTAGCATTACCAATTTCATATGGCTTTAAGAACATGGTACAGAATATCACACCTCCAAATTAAATCAGTATGCAGAGTAGCAGAGAACACAACCTGTGGTGGGTGCCCGAAGCAACCAGGACTCACTTAAGTTTGTTGATGCTTTCACTTAGGAGTTCATAGAGCGAAGAGCTATCACTAAAAACTCAATAACCAGTACAAGATGTCTACAGAATAATAAGGTTTATATGACAGAGGAGGGTCACTGAATGCTTAAGTTTTAAATCTTATAGATCTTCACAAAAGAAAAAAAAAAGAGAAAAGAAAGTAAATTTACACTAAAGCTACATAATATTGTTACATTCCAGAGTAGCTGTATACTTTTATTCCTAAGGAGGAATACAAGAGGAAAGCTGTAGAAAAAAATCTATGTAAATAAGAAACAAAACACATAGCATAAAATGTTTTCTCATTCGATAAATTATATAGTTTGTAAAAAGAAATAAAATTTCTGGTTCATCTCAGCACTTGAACTGGCAATTTATGCAATTTGAAGTTGCTTCACATACCAAATCTACTCTACAACTTCCCTAAAGAACTCCAAAATACAAACCCAAAGTCTGGGATTACACCTCTCCCTTCAGTCCTGATCTTTCTCACAGAGCTTTGCATTTAATTCTTTCCTGGGATGTTATGTCCATCTGCCTAAAGGAATCCACTCTACTGCTGGCACTGGGCAAAGAGTGAGTACAAAGTTTCATTCCCTATTAACAAACACTATTTCATTACCAACTTAAAAAAATATTTAAGAAAAATAAAAAGCAAGTGGGGAATTGCAATTGCTACACATTGTCTTACAACTAATAGAGCTAAAATTCTATTGTCATTGCATAAATGGAAATTATACTGTAAAACCAAAAATATTTCATTAAGCTTTTTATTCTCAATAATTCTATGAAAACTTAATAATATAATCCTTACAGCTTGCTTTACTCAGCTTCCAAAGACCACTGCTTGACTAGAAACTTGTAAATCACAAAGGCTTATGAATAAACTCTAAATCTGGATTTTAACATGCTTTTGTTCTGTCAAGACATAATGACAAAATAAATGCCAAAAGAAAACATAACAAAGCAATAGCAGCATCAAGTATTTAAATCAATAGAACCACTAAAAAAGGCTCAATTTGGCAAATGAGGAAATTCAGACCCACATGTTTAATAAGATTACATTTTCCTTCCCTAAGCCTTGTTAAAACTAAGATTAAAGATCATAGCACAAAGGATGCGAATAAACCTACCCATATGAAGACAGAATGAGAGTCTTAAGTTTGGGTTAAGAAAAATAGCACAGAAACTTTATATTGATAGCAATTTCACACTGTTAACTAGCTGATAAAAAGGTGTCTAACAAAATACAGGAGATATATACTAAGAATTTTTACCTAGCCATTCCCAGGCTGGAAAAGTTGGAAGGAACTATCAAAACATCAAGCCTGGAAAAGGGGTGGGTACCCAGTGTGGTGTAAGCAGCTGAGAGGCACTGAGGAATTAGATGAAGCAAATGTTCTTCGCAGCATTTCATAAGGCAACAGGGAGTAAAGACTCTGTAAGGAATGACTGCCTGCAACCTGGCAGCAGGATCCTGGAAACGGCAGGGATATTCCACATGACCACAGATTTCTTCATGCCATCTGCCAAAATTAAAAAAAGAGAAATAATAGTTTAATGTGATACCAGAAATGTGCACAGCTGAGTAAACTGAGAAAGATATTCTCTAGACAACAGAATGACAGTTAGTTCACGTAAACCCAATTCATTTATATTCTCTGTTCACGCTGTTCACACTGTTCACACATGTGCAGCACTGTGAAAACACTCACTACTAGATGTCTGAGTAGAATTGACACAGTTACTCATAACTAAAAAGACTAATCAAACCTTGGTTTTGTAATAGAAATGCATCAAAAGAACAAGTGCTTCAAATGTACATAAAGGAAACTAACTACACAAAAATATTTATTTAGAGAATTCCTATTCAAACTTGACTATAAAAATAAAATTTTATATATTATTAAAATATTAAGTGCAATTAGAATGAAATTCAAAGGGGGCTTTTTTCTGTTGTTATTAAAATTCTTCAGGAACTTTCACTGGGTTTTTGTTTGTTTGTAAGTAAAAACCTAGAGTAGATACCAATTCAGGGTTATCACTATAGACATTTGAAAATGTTTACATGCTTGTTTCTTTTTCTTAGGATCAAGCTTATTTTACATTACTTTTACAGTATATTCAGAGCTGCAGCTGGAAGGAAGGAGGGGTAAATCAAATCCTTCCTAAGCACTGAGTCATATACCTTCACAATAATTTATCTGCCCAAATAGACTCATATCTAAGCAGAAATCAGTTTCATGTTTTCACCTGCTAGCCTGACTTCTCCGAAGTGCAGAGCCTCTCGCTGGTTTGAGATTTTAATTTAAGGAAGCTGGTTCTACTATGCCTGGACAGGCAAAGCATTTACTGTTATTGCACCAGCATCACCCAGAGCATTTATATGTGGAAGATCATGCTCCAGGTGACTGCTGACACGCAAAACAAAATGGTAACACATAGAAAAGGACTACATTTTGCTGAAGTGCCAACACTTTCACACCTTACGTAACTCCTTCTGTGAAAGAAGTGGACTCTATGCTATTTCATTGATTATATATGCAAAAAACCTACATCCATCATTATACAATTTTTTTCCAAGGGTGGTCTAGCCCAGTATATTCCTGTTCTAAAACAATGTCACTTTGTATTTCATTATCAGAGTTGACATTATGCAAGAACATGAAAGCTAGAACCCTATCTCTAGCAAAAGTTGCCAAGTTCTTAATGACCACAAGGAGATAGGAAACTCATTTAATACCCTAGCTCCATTTACCATTTTCTTGAATACAGTCTCCTTATGTCAAACTCACTGGACCTGGACATAAATTACATTAGACATTTCAACAACTTTCAGAAATCTTTCCTTTTCCTGCTGCTGAAGAGTTTATCTCCATTATCATATCTGATATACTACCTTAACATTTGCTTGCCTGTCCATTTCACATCCTTTCTACAAATGCCTGCTACTGTGCATAATGTTGGTTTGGTTACCTAGTCTTAATTACTAAAGTAAGTAACAAGTGTCTGTTGTACTAATTCCCAAATAAAGACTAACTGGAAATAACTGTAAGAGTAGATTTTTAAGAACATAGATTTTTATGTCCTAATTAACTGCAAAACAACCTTGTATACTTAGGCTCCTTTCTTTATTTGTACATAATAGACACGACACTTTCAGAGGATTTTTTGACCCTTTTTCTCAGTTTTCTTTTTGCTGAAACACGTCTGTTCTGTTTCTTCTACTCTCACTAACCCAACTGCTGCATACACATACTGCCTGTGCCTACTGACTCACCCAGTAACCATCACACAGATTGACTCATAACAATGACCATCACACTGATGAAATCTTGCACTAACTTTTGCTACAAAAAGCTACAAAAATATTTCACTTTTTTCAGAAGTTTTACAAAAAATGGAAACTTTCATTTATTTTTTCAGTGCTGTTAGAATAATATTTTGCACCAAATCAATAAAAATTTCCATTACTGAACATGCTGTACATTAGAGAGGAATATACAGTGAACATCTACAGCATATTTCTGTAGAGGCAATCATATTAAAAACATAATATAGTAGAGGAAAGCCCCCTCCCCCCAAAAAAAACCTACTAGAAGCTTATAAAACCTATAAACTATTTTAAAGCTTCAATAGGCATGTATTAGTGGTCTTAGGTAAAATATAAGAATTCTTATTCTCAAGATTTACTACAATTTTCAGTTTACAAAACTAGCCGGGCTGCAAGCCATCAGAATACTTTCATTTAAAATTCCAGTAAGAAATCCCTATTAAGACCTCAGGTTCCAAGTTCTCACTAGCTTTACCAAATGGTAAAGATCTCCACTGTCTTTATGTTAACACAGCATAAGCCCAAAACATCTATTTAAAAGTGAAGTATTGTTCTGGTTAAGTTTCTAAGTGCATAACAGAAAAAATACTTATGGCCTGACTAAGCTCATCCCTTTCTACAATATTTTCTGTTGACATGGGAAGAGTAGTGGATATTGTTTGCCTGGACTTCAGCAAAACATTCATCACTTTCCCACAGCCTTCTGATCAAACTGGTGAGATACAGACTGGATGGATGGTCTGTGAGATATGTGGGAACTTCACGCACAGGCTGCACTCAGGGGGCAGTGATCAGTAGTTTACACTCAGGCTGTCCCAAGCGCCCCAGGGATCTATGCTGGGCCCCATGCTGGGCCCCATGCTGTTCAGCATCTTCACAAACGTCCAGGATGGCAGGGCTGAAAACACCCTCTTGAGGCTGGCTGATGACACCAAACTGGGTGGTAAGGTGAACACATCAGAAGGGACAGCATCTCACAGAGAGACCTGGACAGGCTGGAAGATCGGGCTAGCAAGAATGGTGTGAAGTTCAACAAAGACACGTGCAAAGTCCTGCACCTGGGATAACACAACCAAAGAGCCAGCACAGGGGCTGGGCACAGTGTGTCTGGGGAGCTGCTTTGATGAAAGGGACCCAGGGCTCCTGGTGGACAACAAGCTGAACATGAGTCTGCAGAGCACCGCTGCAGAAACAAAGGCAAATCAGAACCTTGGCTGCATCCACAGAGGCCTTACTAGCAGAGATAGAGACATGATCACCACACTCTGTTCAGTGCTCGTCAGGCTGCATCTGGAGTACGGTGTCTAGTTCTGGTCTCCACAGTTCAAGAAAGACACAGACAGACAGTAGAGGGTCCAAAGGAGGGCCACGAAAATGAAGAAATTAAAAAAAAGGGCTGGAGAACCTGCCCTGTGAGGAAAGGCAGGAGGAACTAGGCTTTTCCTGAGGAGAAGAGAGGAGCAGGGGAGGGAAGGGTCAGGGAAACCTCATTGCAGTATTCCAGTATTTAAAGGGCATCTACAAAGGGCACAGAGAGCCTCCCTTCACAAGAAGCCACATGGACAAGACAAGGGCAATGAGTGCTAGATAACCTCATCTAAGCTCCCCTTCCCATTAAACATTGGACCAGACGATCTTTCAAAGTGCCTTCCAACTTGGGCTGTTCTGTGATTCTATGACTATGAATTTCAAAAGTTAAGAGTAATATGTGAATAAATCAAGTGCCATGTCTGAGACTTCTGCTAACTATGAATACACATGGAAACAAGTGGTACTTCTCCAAAGAATATTTAGCTTCAAATCTCACTTGCAGACCTATATAGTATTGTTCTGTTCATCCATTACTTTGTAATAAATTAATGAGCAGTTTTGACTAGATTGGAAGGAGGAATAAATGGATCCAACAGACAGCTAAGTAGCCACTGCGTGTATTAGGTAACAGAGTATTTTTTCATTGAAGAGAATCATTGGTCTAACTTTGTTTTATGGGACCTTTCAACACATCTTTCATGTACCCAGTCACATCACCCCGGGCAAGCCACTGCACAGGCAAGCTCTAGCTCTGGGATGGGACTGGACAGGAAGAAAAAAAGCAAATGAGTAGGCAATACTGTGAGGGGCGTTGGGTATCCAAACAGCCTGAGCCATGAAAGATCTCATAGCCAGGCACTGTAAGAAACAAAGGAAGATGTGGTATTGCTGCAGCAGGGCATTAAGAGATACAAGATGTAGAATGCAAATCCAAAGGATACTGGGATTTTTTAACCCTGTTGCTCACTAACCAGCTTGTTTTCACATAAAAAGAGCCACACCCTTGCTCATGAAATAATGCCTTTGGAATTATTTTCCTGTCAAGATTTTTCTGTTCAGATTAAACAAGTTCTGTTTTGATTCCTGTACTAATATGACTCATTTTCACATTCCAGAGAGTAAATGAAAATGCTACCCATGTATCTCAATTTTCAACAATATTCTGAACACTAACCTGAAATCAGCTTGTGAAGATGGCAAGGAAAAGTTAGTGTTTGTCTGGGTAGCGGCTATGAAGCCCTGCTGTTTAACTTCCTGCCAGCACCCCACAGCAATAGTGAAGGTGGATGCTGGCATTGGCATAGTCACATAGTAGTACCAGCTCAAGATACCTGTAAATAAAAAGAACATTTGTACAGACTAATCAGTCACAGCACACAATCAGAACTTATCATTTTTATGTACCTGAGATTTTGGGCCAAACCTCCCACCTTACTTCCTGGTATTTTTGTTGAGGAAAGAAAAATAATTTCATTGAGACACATAAAAGCAGTCATATGTAACCACCACGGATTCAGGACTTTTCATTTACACATGCAACTTTCTTCAGTCTGCTGAGTCTTTATCTATAAAGAATCATCCATAAGTGGGATGTGATTAATGCAGCTTAACATGATTGTATTGTCACTCCCCAAGAATTGAATCAGATATGAAACCTAACAGCAACTTCAGATCCACACATACAGAAAGATTAAGCTTTAAGTCTTTCAACCCTGGATCAACAACCTTACGATTTTGTCCTGACTGTATTATCTCACACATAAAATCTTTTCTTTGTGTTCTGGACAATACCAAGCTGATAGGCAAGTTCTAACAAACAACACCAGTGCTTGTGAATTCAACCTGGAAATCTGAGACACATGATGTGCCAATGAGGCACCGAGAAATCAAAGCTTAGAAACAGATGGGATATTGCCTAAGCCAGTGATTCGGTCATGATAACCCAGGAGTTGCTAAAACATGTTCAGAGAGCGTATTAGAAGGTAAAAAGATGGCAAGTCTTATCATTATGGGAATACAGTGCTGGAAGACAAGTAGTACAGTATAGGATGACTGTATCTACAAAAACATTTGGATAAACTGGAGACGTTTATGCTGGACAGCATACTTTTCGTTAATCTAATGTTTTTTGGGAGGTTTATTTAAGAGGTTTTCTATTTGCCTCTTATATAGCTTCAGAATTACATTCAAGTACTTATTTATGGTCACAAAAACAGTTACTACACCATTCTAATAGCTTAATCACTCTTGGAAAAAGCCTCGCATGAGTTACAACCTGCTGAATCATGTGCAAATAACTGTAGCTGTGGCAACTGTGGAAACATACAAACTTTGGTTATTTTAAGAGCACATGTACTTGTTCTTTTCCAATAGTATTATGACCACAGCTATGGAAGACTATCAAAGGGAAAAAAAGGAAAAAAAAAAAAACCAAACCAACAATAGAGAGGAGGCCACAAGGCATAGAGGAAAGGAAATAAACAACTGCAGCAAAGCATCTGTGGGTTTCCTACCTTAATGCTCACAGAAGACCAAGCTGTACAAAGGAAGGACAAGCAAAAACAAAGCCTCAACAAATTTTCCATACTATTTAGTACAACAAAACAATAGTGTTTGTGAAGTCTTCTGAGAGGAAGATAAAGCCTCTACCTCTTACATGCACTAGCAACCACTTATACTCTCTCACTCCATTCCACTTTTGGCAACATTCACCACTACCTTCAAAAACCTTTTGTCTATATTGTTTGTTGGGTGAACATGTGTTACTGCTGTAATTTTCCTAACCTCCTGTCAGTATGTAAGCACAAGGAACTTACTTGCTCAAAACACATTAGGAACAAGGTGGAAAACTGTTTTCCAAATTCCACATCCCTCTTTTTTTTTTTATTAACTTACCAAAGCTACAAATGAGCTAAGGCAAGTAAATGCCATTTGGAGAGAAAGAGGTCACCCAGGACAGTAACAATTTATTATTTTGAAATACCAAACTCCTGATGTGGAGTTTCATTGACACACTGTCCTTAATACCAGCTTTACCATTGACTTAGATTTGTACACAAGCAGGTCCAAAGCTAGTCTACAGTACTGCACTTTATCTGGAATCTGTTACATACAAAGCATTACAGAATGTGCTATGCAGTTATGTTAATTGTAAAACCTTAAGAGTTAAGTAACAGCTGAGGAAAAGTGAAAATCTGAGGAATCATAATGGAAAAACTAACGTGTTTTCAACTGAGTTCTGAAACTGCTCTAGATGGCAGAAGGTGTAAAGGAGAAGGCTGTCATAACAGTGAGGAGACTGGCTAAAAGGAGTGTATCTGTGGGCCTGTAGTGTGCAAACAGAGGGAGCAGAGAGGGATACGGTGAGAAACAAGTTTAGCAAGACAGGCTAGAGCAAGCAAGACCATAGAGGTTTTTTATAAAACATGGTAGTTTGAATAGAATGTCAAAATGAATGGGGAATCAGTTTAACAGTTCAGAGAAAAAACCGGCATGTACTGTGTTCACAAACTTACATGTATTAGCAACAAACATACGCTATTCAGAGCTGGAGCAAACCCCACAAAAGGACGAAGGTACCAAAGTCAGTTAGCTTTTCTTGGTATGTTTTCAGATTTCTCTAAATTTGGATTTCCTGAGGAAAAGCAAAGCAACTAACATGCAGATCTTTGTCTTGTTTCCAAGCCCCTCATATTTTGCCGACATTATAGAGAGCATGTGAACACTGGATACTCCCAGAACAAGATCCAATATTTATACTGTCTTTACACACCTAACTGGGGCTCAATCCATTTTATGCAGGGCTTTTATATGTCTTCTGCATTCACACTCTAGAACTGTGAAGGGTAACTATAAACTTATCCTACAGTTGCAGTTGCTTTGTCTTGAACAGCTGAAATCACCTGCACTGGCATGACAAATGAGTTCTCTCTATAGTGAGTTCACTGAACGGTGATTGAAACAGTCCTTATGTTGGTGACAGTTCTCTACAGCAATCACCATGCATTACTGTTTCAAGAGTCTAACCTTCATTTATCTTCTGTCTTTTCCCCTCACTACTGTAAGACCGTTTTTCAGCCTTCCCTTTTCTCCATAATTTCCCTTCCTTTCTTTAGCTTTCTCCAGGTCAAGAGGATTTGTTTTGTTTCCCTTTATCTCTAACCTCAGATCTATCCCAGGATATAGACTGGGATTACAAACTCCACTCTGCTCCTCCCTTCTGTGTCCCTTCCCCTGGCTGCCTTCTGCTTTCCAAAGGGCAGCCTTGGAGACAGCACCACCTCTAGGGTAAGAGAAAACAGTGCAGCTGAAACGGGAAGATGGCTTGCTTTACCAAAACCTGCATTTTGTACCACAAAAACATCCTCAGACTAAGCAAGGAAACTTTGGGAAAAAACAAGCGACTAAGCTGGGGCTAGTCCATGGAATAAACAGAGGAAAAGCGCGTCGGTTCTTTTATTGTAATGCTAATACCCTTTCCTTACAACTAGAATTAATTTAAAAGCAACTTGATTCCTACACATAATTATTTTAGGCAATTATAATACTTTCTACAAGTAATTTTGAAATATTTTTTAAGGTTTTTTTTTTCAGTTCTGCAAAGTAAATCTACCATGTCATAACTGCACAAACCATGCAACAACAATCACCTATTCTATGAGCTGTAAGTGGAAAACTTTCCATGCAAAATTTAGGAATACATTGAACAAGGGTAGGAAATAATAATCTATATATAACTGTGCAAAAGAACAATTTAAAGACAGCTTATTTCTTCTACCTGAAATAATAATGATGAATAATGTAATTACTTCCTAGAATTTTGAATTCATTTAGCTATCTTTGAAAGCATTAAAATTGTTCTGAGCTCTGTGGAGTCCATTATAACTGAAGAAACACCTAAGAGTCAGTATCTGCTAATGCCAAGTGCAAAAACATTAAGAGTATTCTTACTTATAGTATATTTTCTCTCAGTTTGCACTAACGCAAATATAAACGCCACAAAATACAGATGATGTCCACGATTTACTGAAAAGCCCCACAAAACTCAGCTACCCATAGGAAAAAAGAGAGATAGTACCACACAGCATTTGATATACAAAGTAAAGAGCTAGTGCTAATACCTAAAATAAGTAGTTCTGCCAAAACTACTTTTTCGCTGGACCACCAGGACTAAGAACCCTCCAGCTTTCCAAAACTCTTTGTAACTCGTAGAAATCTTTGATTTCATCTGAAAGCCAGAATTTCCCACAGAGCACATTCATGCCAAGGCACCAGTTCAGCACTGGCTGAGAGGGATGAATAGCATGTGATGAGCTGTCAACTCCCATGTTATAGTTCCTGTTACATGCTGGAGATCTATCAACACAAGTAGTGTACTCTCTTGTTTTGCCTTGTGAAAAGCAAGAGGAAAGCAAACAAACAAAAGCAACTCCACCAATAGGTGCTAGCTACAGAGCAGTATCAGTGACTTCTCTAGCGCCATATTTCCTCTCAATAATGGAATACACCTTCTCATTGGTATCAGAGATGGCAAAACAAAATCACGGGCTACATAATGTAACTACACAAAGAGCAAGCCAGTCGATTTCACACTTCATGGTTGGGTATTTACTTCTTGAACATGAATTAAAACAAATATAAAGGTGCTTGTGACTGGATATATTTGCACCTTCTATGTGTTACAGCAATATGCTGAAGGAAAGTAAAACTGACAAGTGCTGAAAAATAAATCCATTGGTTAAATGGTTCACATTAAACACACACAGTGGTCCCTGTAAAGCTTTCTCCCAAAAGGCATTGTCAATTGCATTTTTCTTCTCTAAGTACTCCATAAAGAATGCTTGGTATTTTCAAGCACTTTTAGGTCATACTTGAAGAGTTACAATATGAACTTGAGTAAGTGAAGTATCAGTATTTTCAAACAAATGTGGCCTCACTTTATTACAGATGCCAGGATGAGCCATAGTTTTGTAAAAGGCAGAATGGAGGAATGGCACATACAGAAGGAAGTACACTATTACCAAAATTTGCAAATACAAGTGGCAAAAGAGTAATCTGTGCATGTTACTAGCCTAGCTACACTCTGGATTACAGCATCTGTGCATCTAGAGATGTAGGTCTATGAAGCAGAATGCAGAGCTCTGTTTAAAAAAATGAAGGTATCATCCTTGCTTGCTGTTATCTCATTGTCTGCCTGCACACTTGTTATAATGTTTAAAGGAAAAATATTCAGGTAACTTTTAATTCTATTCAGAATAAATTCATCCACAACTGCTTGCCAAAATGCTTATTCTTTCCGAGAAACTGCATTTTAAAAATATATTTTTGTGTTCTGCCAGTTATGTAGGATTTCATAAATATGCAGTACAGCAATAGCATACTGTATATAAATAATTTGTCAAAGAAAAGTCATTTTAATTGAAGCCACCCTTAAAGGTTTTAGGTGTGTTTTACAAATGTAAAGACAAAATTTTAAGCTGGATAGATTTCACATGCCCTGCATAATTGCCTAATAATGGGATCTATATAGGACAGGCTATTGAACATTACAGACCACTTTCAACTTTTTAACTCTTACAAGTCTTATTAATTAATTTGTATTTCTAAATTCAGTAAGAATTTACCCAAGGCTTCAGATTAGCACTTGAGCTTTGGGTTTGTTTGGTTCTTACAATATTTCTCACAATATTATTCTTTGCTCTTCTTTCCTCTGTATCTGTTTTGCAAATTTTTACAATTTCAAACAACTCGCAACACTGATTTGTCATTTCTAACTGTATGTAAGCACTAAGATAACGAAGGCCTCATCCATGATTAAGTCTTTGAGAGCTACTGGAGCAAAATGTCTACTACCTTTAAAGAAACCCACCAACTCTGCATCATGACATCAAAATTAGCATAAGTAATTGTGTGTGCCCCATATACTCCATACGTAGAATCTTCCACACTCTTGGGAATTCCATCGTGAGGAAAGGTAGAAGGACAGAAGTGCAGTAGGTGCTCCTGCTGCTTCTCTTCAGTTCAATGAACTTCAGCACAAAACTTTGCCATTGTCACATGGCTCCTAAAGGAGCCAGCTTTAATGCTTCATTTGGTTCTTCCCAGTTCACGCTTTTCACTCAGCACTTCAATAGCACAGTGAAGCTAAAATGAGTTATTTCCTCCCTACTAGTCTTTCCATTAAAGACTTCGTACAGTATTTCTTGCTTTCACAGAGTTCATAGGAAAGGAAATATACTGGATCAGTCTTTGGAAAATAAAAAAAAAAAAAAAAACCAAAATAAAAAACCACCAAACACAAAAAACAAACCTAAACTAAACAAAGCTTTAAGCTGACACGTGAATTACCAACATAAAGTAATCCACTGCAACAACTACAAGGATTTAAATAAAAGCCCCTTCTATTCTCTGTGTGTGACAAGGCTGACTCTAGGTAACTAACCCCCAGTGCTATCATTAACGATTTGGTATCCTGATGTAATTCGCAACATGCCATCAACAGCATCTTTAAAATGTTTTTTCCCACAACTAGTTTTTTTTGGTCTTTATTCAAGTATCAATTTTTAATAGGTGTTTTAAACTAGAATGACAAAACAATGTTAATAAGGAAGTAATCCTTTTGCAATACAGCGTTTTCAAATAGCTAATTAGTCTAAGAGAGTATAAATTTTAACTGACCTATGACAATTTAGACAGCCTGAAGTTTTTCCAAGTTTTCTTTTTCTAGAAATTCACGTAAGCATCCTTCTTGCTCTTAATATTTCATACCACATAGCCTCCACTGAGGGACAGACAAGCAACAACTCATTAGAAAGGTTTAAGTGTGGTTTAACCTAATTAAACAATGATGGCAGACCTGTTCTAGTCCGAAGACGGAAAGCACTCTGTTTTCTTGATGTGAGACAGGAAAGTAGTATTATCCAAGTGAGCTGAGTACTTGTCATGGCAGCTTTCCATATTCCAACAGCAGAGATGAGGCTTGAAACAGGCTTCACATATGGCCAAAAATAATCAGACAATTCCATACAAATGGATTAACTGATTGTTCTCAAATCAAGGAGACTTTCATTCTTCTTTTTTCCCTCAAGAATAAATTTAAAGGGGAAGAGAAGATTTTATTTCCCCCATAAACACCTAATTCTAACAGTTTCCTATACTCTACTTTCCATCAGAACTATTTACACTAGAAAATACTGAGCCAGTTTCACAGATTATCTCAAAACTATGGGAAGACATATTTTGTATTATGTGTAGAACTGCCTTAAAAACTTCCTTCTTTATGCAGACAGAGGTTTAGAGAATAAAGTATAAATAACACCGAGGAATATCTGCTTACTTACTGCTGTACAATGTATTATCTACCAATGCTAAAAACCCCTAAGGACCAGATTTTCAGGGCACTGACCTAATATTCTTCATCTATTCCACGTATTTCAGGAAACAGATATGACACAATGACCACTTCTAATCATTGGCACGCTGAGCTACACTTTGACTGGAGAGCTAAAACTTAAAGTTAATTATTTACCAAGGCCTGAAGTTGTCAAGAGCTTGATAAGGTACCTCATCTATGAAATGTTCAACTGTAGAGTGATTAAAACAAAGCAAATTTATGACAAGTGAAGTTTAGGTTTGGAAAAAATAAAAGGTGTAAAACCACAGAAAAAAGTAAGTAGAAGTAACACAGTGAAATGTAGGTGCCTTGAATTCTTATTGTTATCCTGAAGCCTTGAGCAGGTAACTTTCCATAGAATGACATGGAGATTACAGATATGTAATCAGACAAGAAAGTGCTTTTAAGGTTAGGAACTTCATTATTTCAAAAATTAGATATCTACTAAGCTATATTTCTAATTATAAAACTATTGAAAATAATTTGCTATAGAAAATATATCTCACCTTCTTCAAGCTGGACTGGGTCTGCTGAGTTTTCACCACTCATTAACACAACAAAGTCTGCAGATGTTCGGACTGAGGCTTGCCACGTTGACAAGGCAACAGGTGGCTCTTGGCATGGGAAAAGAGCTCTGTTGTTTATTGGCGATCCCATCGTATAAACACATGGTCTAGATGGAAGGAAAAGAGATTAAAATTGGAGTTACAGTAAGAAAGAGTGAATTAATTTTTCTATCAAAAATCAAACCTACTGTTGCACTGAAGTGTTTATTTTTAACCTCAGCTCTGTAGGTTTCAAACCTGTCTGACATGAACCAATCAACATACGATCTAAAGTCATTTAAGCCAGGATGAAGAAAAGCAAGACTGCCACAATAATTTTTACATAAACTAGAAAAGAGTCACGCCAGTCTTTCCCCTCTCCTGCTTCTGCATGAGCCTTCCGGCCTTATATAATGGCTCTCAGCTGAATCCATAAGGCCAAAGAAGGCTTCTGAGTATCTTCTGAAGATACGCCATTGCAAGGCTTCACTAACACCTTTGACACCTCTCTGTTGTTATCACAGTAGTGCTTTCATGATCATTAATTCCATCTCTCCATATGATCTGGAGGCTTATGCAAATGGTAAGCAATAGGTTTAGCCTTACGCCTTTGTTAGTCCAAGCCCAAATAAATCCTGACTTTTTTACATTTCTTCTTGCACTAAGGTAGTGCATGCTAGCTCATCTGCCTTTCAGAATTTCAACCACAGGGCTTATAATGAGAAGAAAGTATTTCTTCCCTATCAGCCTCAGTCTCCTTCTTGCTTTTCATGTAGCAACCTTCCTTGTAGTATTGCTCTTTTTGCAGTTTATCTCTCTCTGAGGCATCCTCTTCATCTACTGCACCTTTCCAATTTCAGCTGCAGTATTTCATGCCAGGCAATTTCTTACAAGCAGTTTAGCCACAGCTGGGAAGGTAACAAGGGCTTTCATTAACTACTACCTTGCTATTGTTGGTGTCCAGATGTAGTAATTCTTCTTCTACTTTTGTTACATTTTGCAGTTTTATCTAAATTCCTAGTACTAAAAAAGTTAGGTTTTCAAATATGAATCATAAAAACTAAACACAGTCAGTAGGTTTCTCCACATAAATAAAGAAAATCTTGAAAGCAACACTTCACTGCCCTGAGTTTTTAAAAAACTATGATATTTAAATAATCTGGGAGCACAACACATTATTTTGTAAATGCTTGATGTTAAAAATATTTTGATCAGTATATTTCATAACTTGAGTTTAAAAATCATCAAAACACTTTGGAAAATAGGAGACAAATTGTTAGGGCTAAGGTCTGAGTATCTTGTTTACTCCCACCCAAACAGCTCCTCCATTCAAATTATTCCTTTCCTAAAGCCAACTCTAAACTACACAGAGGAAAGAATACTGATGGCAGACACTGATGGCCACACATGAAAAATATTCTGAAGCTATTTTTGCCCTCTTGTCAAATGTGCTATCTATGGTATTGGATCCAGAGCTGTCCATGACACAATCAAGTTACTGTGGCTTAACTAATGCAGGCCAGCTCAATCTTTCAGTGAAACTGCAGTTTAAGTAGGCCTATTGTTAATGCACAAACAGAAAATGAAAATAATCTGGCTCCTCTGCCATGTATCAGAGTGAATAGAGTAGGACATAGATATCCAGTAAAGCTCAAATGATAACTGCAGTTATCTTTTGAGAATGTAGTTAACTTTCACCCAGTAAAACACAATGCACAGCTAAATGTAAAATACCAGTAATGTGTATAAATCTTTAAATAGCTTTAATTTCTTTGGAATTAATCTACTAAAACTGGATCTGTAACCAACTCTGATATACATAAAATACATGGGTTGTCTCCTAGAAAAAGGAACGATGAGTTCACAAGAAAAAGTAAGAGCTTGGTTTTTTTCCTCTTAGGAGGTTCTGCTTTCTCCTTATAATGCTAGCTAAGAGATACTGGACATACTATTTACCTTAAATCATACATGTACTGGGAGAGGGTGGGGAGGAAAGGATGGTTCCTCATTCATGAAACTTAATTAAATACACAAGATATAAAATGAGATCCTAGTAGCAATTATAGGAATGAGGGGAAAGGTGAGGTTAATGGCTACTGGTATATGTATTTTACTAATGATTTACCATGCATTTGTGAAGGTGGTTTTGCTGTCTCCATTGAGGCAACCCAGTCTTAAAAGTAGTGTAGGAGATTTTCATATCCTGAAGAACTTTTAGAGGGAAATGTTACAATGACTGGGAAAACAGGCTAGCAGAACAGAACTAAGCAGAATGTTACAATGCTGTGTCAAATACAATACAAACATAACACAGAACAGACACTATCAAGACCATGAATGTTATTTTGTTCTCAGAGAGCACTTTTTACCTGCAGACCATAGTGTTTTACAAATAATGTTAATACTGTTTTGCAGATGGGTAAAACGTAACACAGTGAACAGATTTCCTTAGTGCTAGAGTTCAAGCCATCCCCCTTCAGGCTTAGTTTCAAGCCTCCCAGTCCAATAGCTTTCACAGTGGACTAAGAAGCCTCTCATTATAAGAAATAATTACATAACTATCCTTTTTCCTGAAACATTTTCATGCTAAAATACATTCACAGGCAGGTCACAAGTATCTAGAATTAAGACCCAAGAAGAAAGGGAGTTAGAAAAGCAGAGAAGGACTCGTCAAGCACATAATCTTTTCTTCAAAACTAAGCCTCCTTTCCACTCCTCACATGTCTTAATATCATATTTGTCCAGGTATGCTTACTAACTTTATTATATCAAATCAAAAATGTATTCAAGTATGGCAAAGTCTGCTAAGAAGATAGTAACGAAACATGTAAGTTCTAAATTTCAAGAGGAAACTATCAGAACAACAATTACATCAGCTTTTAGTTAGATATTCATATATTCATAGTGAGACCACCTGGAGGCTTGGCTGGCACCATGCCATCAACTGAGATGTCAGCTAACATTAAACAGTTCTGCTTTAAAAGGAGGGTTTATAAGGCAAAGTCATGATTTTTTTTCTTCATCTTTTCCTCTTTCACTGGAATTTTTAATCTATTTTCTTCTCACCCTAAGAAATACCTCCAGAGATTGTTTTCCTTTCCATGACAAATCATGGTGTACTTTGCTAATTTTTTATACTTTATTCACAGTAGTAATTTCTTTTTACAGCACTGGTAATAGTGCAGTGTTACTTTTGGACACCCAGCGCAGCTGGCGGCTTTCTTTGTTCTGGGTCAGGCAATTCCAGCACGCAAGAGCACCAGAAACATAATTCTTATCCTGATACAGATGAGATTTTTCACCTGACTCAGAGAAAGAAAAATTACTATGTAACCAATCAAAGAATAGCAATGACAAATAATTACTTTTAGACTACTTTTGTCAATGGATACAAAGTTTGCCATTTTTCTGATTTATCCCTGCTAGCAAGAAACTTCACAGTTCCTTTCCTTTTTCCTACTATCCTCTACATGTCTCTACTTTCACTTTTAATGGTTTTGTAATGTTCAAATCATCTATTTATGTAATATGTTGTTTATGCCAGCAATAATCTTTGCCACCATAAGTTGGGAGAGATAAGGAAATTGAATACAGCAAAAGAAAGATAAGCAGAGAGAACTCAGACTACTCGTCTAATTACTTGTTATACTGGAAAAACAGGCAACCACAAAACTGTTGTTCAGTAATATCCAAAGCCAATTATTCTGAGGAAGATTCATGCAATCCTAACTCATCAGTATTTCATATACTTTCATAACAAAACCAGTTCAAACCAGCTCTTGGCAGATCTCATTCTCCCACGTAAGCATATAAATTACAATAACAAATCAAGTTACTACCTTAAAGCTAATAATAAATGTTGAGTTGATACTCTGTTCTCTGAACAGGAATCTGCAGGTCTTCTTTGAGATACCTGCCATCAAACACCTGAATCATGTCCTAAGGCTCCACCACGTCAACCTGTTTTGGTTACTGCCTGTATGAAGCTTTCTCAAGGAAAATGCTCAGCTCAGCAACTCTATCCCTTTCCTGTGTCTGAAAAAATACATTCACTATTTCTTCAAGGGTTGTCTCTGTGTAAGGATGTAAGATGGCAACCTCCTGCAAGTACAAGGCACTCCCTGTAGAACTACTGCTGTTGGCAGCTTTTCTTACTCTAAATTACAGTGCCATTTCCTCAAAGCAGCAGGACTTCCTGGCACCTAAATCACACAAACTTTTTTGTTCTGCCTCATCAATTTACATATCTGCTAGGTGCCAGTGACTGTCATCAGATTCCAGCAGAGCAGGTATTCTTGTTTTCATTTTTCTGTTGAATGAAACAACAGTCAATAACTAACCATGCCCTTTTTGAACAATTCTCCAATTTAAAGGTACTAAATATGATTGTGAGATGAGTGATTCCACTGACTTTCCCTGTAATTTCTGTTACTCTGATGCTTTTTTTCAACAGCTGGATACCTATATTTCTGAAGTGATGCTTCACGACTTTTGCCAACTAATTTGTGGTCCACATTGATAGGAGAGGACTCATTCTACTCATTGTTAGCTGAAGCAAACCAACAAGTTGAACTTTAACTGAACAATACCATACACATGTCACGAAGGAATAAGACAACAAAGAACATTCTTTGCCTGTCCAGCTCATTGAACTGGGAACTGTTCCTCACAAAGTCAGAAGAGAAGCCACCCTAAGACCATAAAAGGCAGGTAAAAAGAGAAGTTCAGTCGAAGGTGAACAAAAATACAACTACTAAAGACTCTTGGGGCCCTCACACAAAATAAACTGCACATGGTTTAGATGGTAGTAACCTATGTTACTTAGTTCTGGGAAGAAATTATAATATATATGAGATTTCTGGGAATTATAATGTATATGTATGAGATAAATGCTTACAAGCAAGAAACCTGTACAAATTGGCAATCATGTTAGGCAGAGCTACCCGCCATGTATCCTGCACCATAATAAATAATGCCTGCTTCTTAATGCTACATTGGTATTAAGGAGTTTTATTCTCCTGACAATATCAGGTATATGAATCCTGCTTCTTCTAGACACACTACATCCAAAATCTCCTGTTTAAAAGTTTTATCTTTCGGTAAAGCCATCACCGGAAAGCAAGAATAA